ATTCACGCCTAACCATCTACGCCTTACAATCCACGCCTAACCATCTACGCCTTACAATCCACGCCTTACCATCTACGCCTACCAAGCTTAACCACTCTTTGCCTTGTGCATTTCCTTCTACATTTCCCTCGACAAGCTTATGTCTCTTTTCCAACTTATACCTTTCACGCCTACCTATTCAACATCTACCCTACGCCTTTTTCGCAGACACTCATTGGCTCATGGTGGCATGTGTCTGCTTTCTGCTCTGTTTGTGAGTCCTGCTGCCCGTTCAAAGGCGTGCCCATTTTTCGGCTTGTGAAAAGTGGTGGCTGTCAAGTGGTGATTTTCCCTCGCCTGTGTTTACGCCTTTTGTCCTCGCCTATTTCTCCCAAACTCTATCGCCTAGTTTATCAACTCTGACAGACCGAGACAGTGACCGCATTATACCTGCATGTTCTGTATACTCTTCATGTCGCAACCCTACCCTAGTGATTGCTCACCCAATCACGGCTCTAGCACAAGGAAAAGAGCTCTGATTCTCACAAGTCAGTGTTTCCCTTTGGCTGAGTTTTAGCCAATAGGAACGAAGCTAGATAGTTTGTAAACGACTGAATGTCACTTTTGGTTTTCCCCAGTCCCGCACACTTGGTTTGTCTTGGATACTCTGCGATAAGTTGCTACACGCCTATCACCCTCGCCTACCTCCTGTTTCTTGCTTCGTGACAGTAACTACTACACCATTTTTCGTTTAACCGATAGTTCAGGTTATTTCCGGTATATTTCGTCCGACTCACAACTGATCCACGCCTCCGATCACTGAACGTTTCAACACTGAACCACTTTATTCTGATTTGCTAACTTATCCGAAATCCGGATGCGTTCCGTGCACTTTCACCATGGGACTCCTCCGGACATGACAAAATGTTGGCCGGATAAGGTCCTGGTCTGCGAATGAAATGCTTCATGTCTCTGTCTGCCTTTTATTGAAGAAAACAATTTCATTGGTGCTTATATCCGAAAACCGGATATTGTCCCTGCGTGGAAGTGACCTACGAGGCAGAGATTCGCCATCCACGCCTGGGAACGCCGTTCGTGTTTCGAGTGGTGCACACAAGCACGCCAACAACGGTGAGTAGGCTACGCCTGTTGAACCCCCCCCTGTCATCGCAGGTACATGTCGTAGTGTGCTTGACCCTGTACCCTACGACTGTGTGGTAGCAAGCGAACCAAAACCATTGCCCAAGGGAAAGCGCTCCCGGAAGCAGCCCCCACGTCCGACACTGTGGTGCGACCAAAGTGTTGAAGCAATGTTCAAGCTGCGGTACAAGTCTGCTTTGGCTAGCCGATTTGACTCCAAGAACAACTACGGCAAGCGAGTAGCGTACGTCATGCTGGCGACCGAACTTAGCGTCGTCATGCAGCGGGAATTTACAGCCAAGCAAGTGCAAGACAAGGTGCGTTCGACATGACCATTTATTAGGTTTGTCATGTGATTATTTTAGCTGGCCAAGATGAAGACAGAATGGTCTCTCTCCAAGCCAACGCTGCCTGCTCCGACTGGGAACTCTCCCCAGACCCTACTGCCGCTGGATTACGACGTAATGCTTGATTATTGGGGGGAAAAGGCTGGCTTCCGAAGGGAGTCGCTTATGAGCACTGACGATGTCAGTGATGAAGAAATTTCAACGGACAAAAATGGTATTATTAATAAGACAGATTTATTTGCATTTTGGGTAGTTTACTCTGCGTCTATTTCTCCTGTAGACAACAATCCCGACAATGCCTCTCTCAGCGATGACGAAAGGTATGCTGGCGAGAAGGCTCAGCAGCCAGAGCAAAACAAAATTAAGACGAATGGGAAATCAAAAAAGACCACGTCACCATCAGAGTCCCTGGAAGCTGGATTTACTGCCATCAAGGAGGGATTAATGTTTTTGGGGTCTGCGATGGCTCAACAAACACCTTCCCATCAAGTCATGGCTGCAGCGCCAACTCCTGCCACCCAGACGATCTCTGTGACTACTCTCGACGACGTTTTGAGTACCATAAAGGCTCAATCAGACACCATGTCCCAGGTCCTGTCGCACCTCATTGCCAAAAAGGATTAATAAATGTAAATCATTTGCAATGTCCATTATTGATAAACAAATTTAGCCACGGTACTACGCTTGGTAAGGGCGCTATTCCGATATTCCGAGTTTGTTTCTACGTCAGCAATATCGAGCGGTTGAACGTGGTCGTTTCGATCGCGGCGATGGCACGGAGTGGACGATGGACACGGTGCGGGCGAGTGACTTCTCGTTCATGGCAGTCTTCAATATT